ATACTTTTAAATACGTATTTGCCCAACTCTGTATATATTAATTCAGCAATAAAAAACCGACTCCGTAATGCTTTACGAAGCGCTCGGAGAGTCGTTAAAATAAAAAAAAGTAAAAAGAAATTAAGATCGTTTATCGCAACGCCTTATGCTAGCTGACAATTAAAATTGCGAAGCAGATAATTGTATTACGTACATATAATTTGGAAAATTGAAAATATCATGAACTCTTTCGATTTTCCAAGTGACTATATAATTCTCTCATTCTTTTTTTGTCAATTTGAAAACGGGCAGTTAATAATAATAAAAGCAATGTAAAAATATTAACTGCTACAATTACTTCATAAATATAATTTAATATTATTATTATTTACAATTGTATTATTATATTTTATATATGGGATAATAACAACATTAGAAATAACAACATATTATAACGTATCGTATTGTTTGTAACAGAGATGAGTATCCAGAAGCCCGAAGGTCTTTTGTCGGTGGTTATACCGACTGAACTCCCGTCTTCGCCGAATTCCCGGCAGCTGTTTATAAATCAAGATCAACAGGTGTGTCAACGATTCATTAATTCTTTACGTGCCTTATATATCATAACTATCGCACTTCTGCTCGTTGTATGTAGAAATGTGAAAATTAAACAATTTAAACAAACTTAAAACTCTCAACAGGAATTTCAAGTTTATAGATTACTGTTATAATGTCTCACGTTACTTTACTTAATTACTTTTGCGATTAAACTATCATTTAGGCAAGCTTTGTTCTAGTTTTGTTATTTACTTCTCAGACAAAAATGCGCGTGATCATGTTTCATGATAATGTGATTGTCATGCTGTAACTTCAATTTAAATTTATTATAAATTTAATTTATTTTTTCTTTTAAAGATCATTATATAGTTAACATAACATGAGCACAGAATGTACGCAAATTATTTACATAAGTGTACACATTCTTAACTAGATTTTTATTATTTTTGAAAATTATATGTAGTCTACAGGTGATATGGAAATGTCTAGTCAAATTGTCACCGAAATATACGATGATTCATCTATATGCATTTTTAAGAATATGTTATGTTAATATATGAATGTGTATTGCATGAAATTATTTTATTATATATTACTGTCGATACCCCATAAGAAAAATTTAAATTTTATTTGAGAGAGAGAGAGAGAGAGAGAGAGAGAGAGAGAGAGAGAGAGAGAGAATTATCTAATTTTTTCACAATTTTCTCATGAAAAGATAGTTATAACAGATAAATTAAAATACTGAAAAGCGATAGTTCTTTTTAAATATAATTTTTCTTCGATTTTTTTATTTTATGTAAAGATACCTTAGTTTAAAGAAGTTAAAAATGTTTTCTGTAATATCTGTGTAACAGAATGTATGTGCAATTAAATGCATTATTTTGTTATTCGAAGATTATATCAAAGAAAAATGCGCAAGGTTCATTTTGCGAATTCACTGATACATGTCTCGTACATGTATTAATCGTTTAATAGGATGAAGAAGCGTCCGATTGTCCCTTGTTAACACCAAGCCCGCCGCCAACCCAAACAGATAAGGCTCTGCAGACGACGCCAATATTCAACGCGCTGGAAGGAACTCCATTAGAGATGATACCTACGCCAACGCTAGAGAATATTAATACGGAAGACGGATTCAACGCGTTCATGAATATCGTGAATAGTTCGAGCAAACCTATGCACGACGGTACGTTTCTCCCGATCCTTCGCAGTTCAAACGGTCCGTTGCACGTTGAACAATGTCGTGTGATTGCGCAATGGACCGCTCTTTTTAATCGTTTTGTTCTTCAAGCTACTGAATATGAATATCGAATACATAACGGAAAGTCTGTAGTGCACACAGAAACGTCATTATCGTCTGTCAAGTTTGCCATTAATTTTCTTCAGCGAAGAGGCCGAGACACCGAAAATTGTCGAGTTACAAACTCGCCGAGAATGAGGAACTCTTAACACGTGAAATCTAACGTTCTTGCCAGGGAAAATTATCCTAAATGCAAAGACCGTGTGCGCAATGGCATTTAATTCTCAGTGATTCGCCTTATACCTTTATGAAGAGAGACAAGAATACACACCCACGTTGACCGACAACGCACCATGTTGACCGAGCTTTTGTTTCCTTTTTAAACGAGAAGTACGCCTATATATATGTTCGTCATTCACTGACAATATTCTCGAGCCGAAGGACTTACATAATCACCGTTACACGACGCTGACAGTCGCTTGTTAGAGCGCTAGGATCCAATTTCAATCCAAGCGCACAATGACAGTCAATCTTGACGATTGTTACGTCGGCAGACGTCCCAATTGGAATTCTTATACGAGAACTTGAAGCCTTACTTTATTTAAGCCTTATCCTATTTAAAAAATCCAAAAAAGAAATATGTACAAATATCATTGAAATATTATTTGAACTTGTCCCTATCGGAAACTTCAATTTCTCAAATTTCAGCTCATAACAAAATTATCAATTTTTTCATCTTATATCCGTAACTTGCTTTTAACAATTAAATATTTATTTGAATGATGATGCTTTTCTTTACTAAAAACACGATTCACATAGATTTTCCTTATCTAATTCTATCAAATCTTTTAAATAAGGTAAATTTTTCGAATTTTTAGAACTTGTTCGAACAATCTAGTCACACGATTCGTAGTGAGAACACGTCGACTTATTTTGACTTTTTTACAAAGTATCGAACAATTTCATTCGAACTCAAATATAACAATAAACAAAATAAAACAAAATGTTCTATCAATATTCTTATGAAACACAAATACTTTTTATTCTTTAGAATATTTGATTTCTGGAATATTTGAATATTTGGATATTCTATTAATATATATGCTACATTATAGGCAAGTATTTTTTTACAATAGAAAAGAATATTCTTAGAATATTCGTAAGGTTTATTTATTGGGCATATGCGATGTATTCATGTAATCGTGAAGTTTTCGTAATCTTCTAAATAGTAGTATGCATTTATTATAGCTTTCATTCTCGCACTGATCTTTCAGCCTTTCTTTTTAATACCTCTACTTCGCTTCCGCTCTGTCCTTCCCAATCTCACTTTTTATCTTTCACAAACTTTCTCTTCTTTATCTCGCCTTTCTCTCCTCCTCGCCCTTCCACCTTCCTCCCTTATTTTCTCTCTACCTCGAATCTTTCTTCACCTTCTCTCCCCTAAAATCTTCGCTCTCCTGTACGCTCTCTTTCTCCATGTCAACCAGAAACCGCCTTATTACAGCTAGTAATGATACGTATCTACGAAATAAAATATTCCTTTATAATTGTGAAAACAAAATCAAAGGTTACTTTAAATTTTTGTAAATATTCTTATACACATAGAACATTTCATAGAACATTTATAGTTGTGTCGAAATATACTATATTCGAAATATACTCATTCGAATATACTATAAACACACTATGAATATATTACATAGTTTTTGGTGCACTCATAAAATATACAAATATTTATAAAGAACATTCTCATGGAGAACACATACTTTCACAGAATATTCTTATATTATCTAGGAAGTATCAATTGATTTGTTTCGCAAAGGACGTCGTACATGTGTCTGATGTGTTTCAGAACCGAGCTCACGTGATCCGATGGTGGAGTCCACCAGCAGCGGTAGCAGCAGCGACACAAATGAACCCGTTTGCGCGCAGTTGCTGACGCAATTAAATACTGCTTACCAGCATCTTGCGCCAGACGCTCAAGCATTAGTGAGTATCGTTCAAACAAGACTTCGCGCGATTTTGTCAACGGATGGTGACGTCATTCAGTCGAGAATCCGTCGTAAATCGAAGAAAACGTTCCGTCGATTTTGCATAGGATTTTACGAGAACACTCAACACGCTACAGATAGAAAAGTATGTATGAAAGTAATCGAGAAAGTAAAGACCGTTTAGCTTGAGAAAATTAAAAAAATATTTTATTATTCAATTTTATTCTTTTTAAATACACAAGTAGCAAGGTGACGTCTAAAGACGTCACTAAGATGTCATTAAGACGTAATAGACGTTTTAATGACGTCTTAATAACGTATTTAGACGTCACCTTGCTACCTGGGAATACTTTATTTTATTTCTCCACATAATCGTCGATTTTCATGTACGTTTATTCATTCATTTTTAAATTTTCCATACCACTTTCTCACTTTTATTCACTTTCCAGATAATACAGAGAATTCACAAAGAATTCGAAAAGAATTCAATCGTATGTCACCGATTCTGAGTTCATTTTCAGATGCAAAAAGAATTCTTCAGAGTTTAGTGCAGTGAAAAGAATTCTTTTTGCATCTGAAAATGAACTCAGAATTGATGACATGCGACTGAATTCTTTTTGAATTCTCTGTGCTATTTGGGTCATTACTATATCACCATACACTTGCTTTAATTGACGATAAATATCGACAAGTCTCATTTTCTGAGTATTCAAAACTCGAATAACATTTCGTACTTCACAGTCGGCGGGATTTTGTATAATAGGATTCATCGTTTTGACGATGTATAACGTTCATAAAAATACGTATTAAAGCACGTTATCCTCGGAACATTAAGAAAACAAATCAGGAAAATCAATCTTAAATTGGGAAGAGGGAATGACCTACGTAGCAACTACGCGCAAATAGTCTTTACTTTTTGGATTGCCTTCGTAAATATTAGTGTACAAATGAATAATATACATGTTTTTAAACAGTTAAAAAATAATTTTAAAATCAATTAATTTTCCCGCTCTTTTGCGATTATGTAGTGTTAATGTATAGCTATTTAAAATGATAGTTTGACGCGGGAGGCTTAATATAACTTCAAAAAGTACTCAGCAGCGTGCTACATAATTACAAATATCCTCAGGGAAGGTTGAAGGCACGCGCGATGCTGAAGTCAGCAGACAGAAAAGAATCAGTTCAATAGCGTTTAAAACGGCAACAGATGGAAGGTGTCGGAATATATCCGACAGTGTACGACACACAAAAAATAAAAAAGCTTGGTGAAATAGCTTGGTGATTTCTACCCAAAGACACAGCGAGATGGAATCCATAAGATGCTCGAAAGATGACTTAAAGTTATATAAATCACTTTGATATAATAATATATTGATATTTAATAATACTTTGAAAAATTTGTTTTACTTATTTTTTTAATAGAAAGAGAGGACTTGAAAATTTACCCGCAAAATTTGGATTATTCATTTGTATACTTAATATATCATAAGTGTGTTGAGAACCAGACTGTTTGATTTTTTTGTTTCTCCATTTTTCAAAAAGGAAATATGAATGGTTTCGTACGTCTCTACATTGGCACGCAGAGATACAAACTGGCAAAATTGTTTTTCCTGTCGTGTTTCGTGTTTTGTAGATTTGTCGTCGAGAATCGCAATCGAGAATTACTTTGTTTGCTTCCCAAGTCGACTTCTTTTGGCTCTTTCAAAATACATTCGTAACTAAAGAGACCAGAAGTCGATATGTAACTTGTCTCACCGATATACCGTCGACATACACATATATAATTGTTTATTGTATCTTTATATTTGCATAATGCGTTTAACATCTTGAGTGTTTGTTGTTGTGAAAATCTATCTCTTTCTATCTCTTTCTCTCTCTTTCTCTCTTTCTCTTTCTTGCCCCTCGCAGAAGTAAAGAACTTCAACGTTCTTTCACGCATTGTGTCCACTTTGTGTCCATTCGCCTGGCACGAATGAGAAATACTTCGTCAAATGCATCACGCGTGAACGATAACGCGTCGTGATCGTACCTGCACAGCTACACTCGCAGCATCTTGCCCCTTGCGTCCAGCCGAATTCGTTATTTCGTCCGGCCGGGCTCGTCATCATCGACTTGCCATCTCAGTCGCCTATGTGCACAACATACAATCCTGGTACCGCATTCACAATCCTGGTATCCACCAGGTACGACTAGGGTGACCGTGAAAACGATGGTATTGCAACGTATTCTAATTAGCGGACATTAGTGGATTAGCGTGGGCAAAAATAGACGATTTCATTCGGCTACGGCTACGGTTTGAGGAGAGATTTCCGCGGGGAATGAGGACACGTCTTAGATAAATCAGGACTTATGGTCACCCTAGAAAATCGTTGCGATTTCGTTGCGTCTCATTGCGTCTCGTCACGCTTTGGAACGGCCAGAGGTATGTTTGCCTGATGCGGACGTCCGTTTTGTCATTTGATATACACGCCCCTGTACTAATCCATCGCTTCTCGCTTCCTAACATCACCTTATGTACTCACGCCTTAACTGTTTAGTTTTACAACCAGGAGAACGGTGGCAAGCCACCGCTCGTTGGGATTCAGCTGATGGTGCCGAAGCCGCCCAAGGATTACCGCTTCATGAAGTGGAATTGGCCGTTGATACGCAAGACGTGCTTCTGGTCGTTGATGTCGGTCTTAGCAGGCTGCACCGCTCTCGTCATCGGCGTCATCGCCACGATGCCCAAGAAGTATGTGTAAGAACGTATCATGCGATTAAATCTTGCTTTACACGTACGAGTAAGTGAAAGCCCTGTTTAAAATGGATGATAGATACACTGAGAGAAGAATTTAGTAAATATTATCAAAATTTGGTTACTATTACTAAATGGTAGACGTAAATATAGCGGGCCAAAGCTATGGCAATACTTATTAATTAATTTAGTTCTGTAAAATAAATTATTTATTTGACAGAAGTAAAATTTATTTGCTTCCAGAATATATTTGGTAAATAAAACTTATTGAATAGTTGAGCAAAATAAGCGATTTTGTAGTAGTTAAAAAATTTTTGGTAGGTTTAACCAACCATCTGCAATAATAGATATTGAAACGATGTAATAGCTGCAAATGAATGAATTTTTCGTCGCAACAAAACATACTTATACTGGTAACAAAATAGAACTCGTACCTACTGAATCTTTTATTATATGGGATATAACAATTTCATAACAATTATCAAATATCTGCTCATAACTGTAATATATTTCATATTAAATATTTAACATTAAGTAACTATTACTAAATTATTTAATTGATGTTACTGTGAATGCAATTACGCCATACTCTCGATCTATTAAGTATTTGGTAATTATTATCATATTTAGTATTAGTTACTAAGGATTCAATGAATTTCTGTAACTAAATGCAGTTTGTTATAGTTACCAGTCTTTTCTCTCAGTGTATAAAACCGATAACGTTACATAAAGTTTGGTTTGAGTTTCAATCTAAGTCAATGTGAATCGAAACAGATGATGATTGATTTATATTGAAATTCAGACTGAACGTAATATAATCTTATCGTTTTGTATTCGTCACTTCAAGCAAGGAAGATAATGTAAATATGTTAATGGTACACGGAAAAAAGAGATGTGGTGCACCTAATAAAAAATATTTAGTTGTAAGCAAATAGCTGCATTATTCTACATATCTTTGTATGATAGTTATGTGTATGGTTGATTTGACTTACTGTGGTGTGTCAACTACATCAATGAAGTTGCGTGTGATCTGGCAACTAGAAATTAGTAAGAGGATCATTTTGCATAGACAAGCTAAATATCGATATAGTTGCATTAATCAATGCTATATTGCAAAGCAGCGATGTTAGAAAACAAAAGCAGTTCACTACGCGCACAGCTAGAGATGTATACATGTGAAAACTGGTTCTGAGTGTATAAATATACATTTGTAGTTGCCGCGTAATGAGCCGTGTATGTATTAACCATGTATTATCACTGCTGCAACATAAGTAACTCAGCCATTGCTCTTTGGTTACAGCAACCACATAAATAGTTGTTTCGTATTTTACTATTGAATCTGGTTGGCACAACCAGATTTCTGTATGGATCAAGCATATTGTTTTTTCCGTGTACCCACCTAATAAATATTTGTTAATTTTTAGATGTTTTTCTCAGTGTAACTTTTCTCTATCTTGCCTTGATTTTGCCGTTCATTTTACGACTACTTATTTTTCTGTGTGTAGGTATTTTAACTAAGCATATACACCACCTGAAAATACCTCTTTGTCATTTATGCCAAAATTATGTTTATATCGATTAGGTGCGACCCGCCGGTGGATTGGTGGCAAGGGAGTACCTTCTATGAGATATTCCCGGCGTCCTTTCAGGATTCGACGAAGGGTGGCGACGGGATCGGCGATCTTCGCGGGATAACTATGCGTCTGGACTATCTGAAAGGGCTCGGGATACGGGCTATTCGATTGAATTCGATATTCCCAGCGCCGCATTACCCGGAGTATTACTCGAACATCAGCAACATGACGGAAGTGAACAAAGAGCTGGGCACGCTCGAGGATTTCTCCGTACTCGCGCGCGAGATCCATAAACGGAATATGAGCCTGATTCTCGATCTCCCGCTGTATCCGTTCGTGAAGAGTTTGAGTGACTCAGAGGAAGACGCATCTATCGTGAAGGAGAACAAAACCGAGAAACAGGCGTTCCGGAAGAGGAGGGACGTCACGGTCGGCACTATGATCCGCGAAACCATACTGTCGACGCCGTCCACGTCGATCGAAGCTGTCCGTGACGTCCTGTCGTCCGTACCGCCGCCGCTGGAAGAAGCTAGGAAACAGGCACTCTCGTCCAATCGCTTACATGATCAACGAGGACATCCCGTGAGCGAGGCTATAAGGATCTGGCAAGAGAGAGGAGTGGACGGCTTTTATCTGAAGGGACTGGAGCACTACGTCCACGAAGACGCATTCGCTAGCAGCCTTAGGTACTGGAAATCCCTTCTACGTCCGAACGGTATCTTCATCTGCCACTCGAACGTCTTGAATGCTGCGACCTCCGTTGTCTCGATGAACTCTATCCTATCTCGAATAGATCTGGTCGACGTGACTCTTCGCGTGGTCAACGGCACCAAAGACATCAAGGAGCAGATCGAAGCCATCACGAACGGCGTATTGTTCAACAAAGCCGCTTATCCGTGGATACTCTGGTCCGTGAACGGCGTGGATACTAGTAGAGTGGCCTCTACTATGAGCGTGAAGAATGCCAGCCTGGCGGCTTCTCTTCTCGGCATGATGTTGCCTGGAACAACCAGTATATTTTACGGAGACGAGGTATGGATAATGTTGCGATCAAAAGAGCCTCGCGGTGAAGTCTGTCCGAACTGAGAAAGGGAGGATAAACATATTTTATCCGATTGTGTGTGAAGACATATAGGCGTAATGTTTTATTCTATACGTTACAATCATCACGTAACTATTATGTAGTTTCGGATTCTTCAGAAGACATAAATAATCGAAATAATATTTAATTATATAATAATTCAATATAGTGAATTATTATACAACACTTCAATATAGTGAATTATTATAGACAATTGAACACTAATTGTCAGTAAAAAAACATCAATCCCGGCCAAACCTGCAGATTTTGCGCATCTGGAGTAAATTTTGTCGGCAGCTTGCCAGCAGAAATACAATAGAGTCCGCTAGTAAAATATGATGATAGATTGACGGCAGAAATTGAACAGAGTTTGTTGTAACTATGTTTAAATGTATTTAAATAGAATATAGATACAGATCCTGTTCAGTTTCTGCCAATCAGTTATCAAATTACGTCAGCAGATGATTCTGCCAACAGAATACGAGCTTAATGCGGATACAGATGGTATTCTGGTCGAATCTATTGCCAATCTGCCAGCATATTGCTAACACTTTGCTTATTAGGAATCTTATTATTTCCTACTCAACAAATACATCAACAATATAAATGCAATATAACGCATTGGGTAAACGGTTACTTTGTTGAGTAGGAAATTATAATATTGGTGTAATATTACTGTTAGTTGGTGTTTACTGAAAAATAATTTCGCATTTTCCAGACAAAATGAAATTATTGTATTTTTATATCATCATAAGTTTATGAAGCAATGTATGCGTCGTTCTGATTTATAATCTGTCATGTTTTATATACATTGTTGACATATTGTATGTATAATTGCTACATATTGTTTGATATATGCAAGACAACCAGCATGCGAGGCAGTAAACAATGGGATTTTCATTTACTCAGATAGGCATCGAAGACTGCGAGTGTCGGGATCACAAAGATTTGGCGCACGTGCACAATCTAGTTCCTATGTATTGGGAGAAAAAGGACGGCTCCGACAGCAAATTTTCATCCGCAGGAGTTACCACATGGCTGCCGGAAGCTGGAAAACCCGCGGAGACCAGTCTGACAGGCACAATCCCAAAAATGACAAGACTGAGGTCGGAAACGACAACGATTTACGTCAAAGCGGTGTTAAGAGAGAAAGAAGTTTTGGCAAATTGTAATGTCAGGTAAAATTTTCCAAGTCTAGCGCAACGATAGTTTAAATAATTGTTTCAGATTTTTACCTTAAACCAATTTTAAATAGTTGAGGAAATTAACTGTAGGTCAATTTTCATATATTTTGCATTACAAGAAGCGCCTTGATAAAAAAAAAATTGTATATGAATTTTGTTTCTATATGGTCATATATTATTAGTAGTTATACATATATGTCCATAACGAAAAAAATATTGTTATACAAATGGGGTCAAAGTAAATGTTTATGCTTCTGGCAGTACATGATGCGGACGTTTAATTGAAACTACTCCCTCTTTTATTTAACATAATTTCTTTTCATATAGACATATATAATTATAAATGTGACCATATAGCGATAAAGTTCATATATAATTTTTTACATATGTAATTAATATACCATAATTACATATGTAATTTTATATAATTGGATATAATTTTTTCCCCCGGGACATTAAATTCTTTCAATTCTTTCATTTCTTTCAAAGATAATAACGCGATCATATATTTTAGATTCGTCACAGAAGCTGATTATATCACGGATATATTAACTGATAAATTTGAGTGAAAAAATAATATTTTAATCGATTATAGAAATATTCATAGAAATATTCTGCACTTGTCTTGAGTTTTGCTAGATTATAGTATCTGAATAAATTAATTTAATTTCTTAAACTATATGATCATTTTAAGGGAATGTTTCTGTTATTTTGTTTAGATACGCAGAGGATGAAATGCTTGTGGTTGAGCGATGGTACCCACGAAGAAATTCTTATGTGTTTGTGGCCAATTTTGGCAACGAGACACGCACGAAGGACTTGTCGTCCCTGTACTACGATGGCCAGGTTGTTGTTGGGCCGGGCTACAGGTTAAATCGAAATGTGTACTTTAAGAAACTTATTGTCTCTCCCGGAGAAGCGTTTGTTATAAAATTGGATAAATGAGAGAGCCTCGATCAGGTAACATTACTTCATACCACAGTCAACTTTTAGTTTTACCCTTGTCGCACACGAAACAATCGTCAATGTCATTCAAACATCATTAAAAATGTGGCCGTCTTACAACGAAAAATTTCTACAAAACATGTAAAAGATTTCTATTTCAACGAAAAATATGGTTTCGGCGGAGAGGAGTCGTATAGCAAATAGCAAAAATAAGAAGACACGTTGAATCTACATAAAAAATACATAAAAAATTGAGAAGTAATGAGGGAGATAGCGTCCAATCAAATTTCCACAGCCATGATTAAAACAGATAACACGTGCCTCTCGCAACATTACAAATTGATCAACGAATTTGAATATTAATCAAATTACTCACACATAACACACGTCAAAATATTATATCCCTACAACGAATTTTTACGCATCCTAAACTTCTTTCATCTTGTTTATGCCTGAGAAAAGGCATTCGATGCGATTGTATTCAGATTGTGACATTGTGATCATAGTTTGCAACTACTATTGTATTTATTCTGACGATAGAGAATACTGGCAAAAAGACATAAGGGGCCTCTCTTGTTTGCATATCTTACAGTCCTTTCGATAAAAAATCAAAAATCACTGTACATTATAATGCATTGTTATTATAAAGTCGTTCACTGTTGTGACGATAGACATGACATAAAATCCATTTGTAATCTACTGCGACGCCATCAAAACTTTTTATTTATACGCTATATACCGATTATATTGGCTATACAATCTCAATTAATATGTTTATAGTTTGTATAAGAAAATTACGTAATCGTACAATTATACACGTTTTAAAAGAAGATCTGCTTTTGGATATTTATATTTAGGACTCAGGATATATTGTACATTATTAATTGACTGTGTGAATACAAAGAATCTGTATTAACGAGATTATTTTTATGTATTTACACAGACAAGTGAAAAACATTAGCGCATTGCTATATCTCTTTTGTAATAAACTCTTAATTGATATGAAGAAGATATTTATTTACCTTGAACTTGTAATATTGTGTCTTTAACGTGTAGAACAATCAAAATATTTTACGAAACAAATATATATTTGTTATATGGATCCAGTTATCATTGATTATATCTAAGTATATGTGAGAAATGTAATAATCAGATCTGAATCATATATAACGTTATATCTGATTATATCTGAAAGATCTGATCAGATCTTGACAAAATTCATATATGGCTTTTATCTGATGTTTTTTTCCCGGGTATGTATATTCACAGTGTCAAGTCGACGTTATTGATGTTTCAGGCAAACCTAAAATAATTAATAGATTCATTATTAATAATTATTAATATAATAATATTAGAAGACGATTTTTCCTCTTTTAGATAGAATCGCAGGCAATTGGTGTCGAATTGAACAAGTTTTTTTGCATACTAAATGAATTCTGCTAAACAAACTGTTGTTCTTATGCCACGAGTATAATTTTATGTTTGCTCAAAATCCATTGAAGTAATTGTTAACGCTGGATATTATCTCAGTCACCGGGAAGACTAATATCATCAGCATGATTATGAAGGGTCTCTTGCATGCTTTGAAGTATGAAGAGAAGCAGTGGCGTAGCTAGAAAAAAATTTCGGGGGGGCTATACTTTTTATTTTTGACGAGCAAAAAAAGATTATTCGAACAAATTTTTCTCACACAGCGTGACCCAGAAAATTTATTTCGGGGGGGCTGCAGCCCCCTCAGCCCCCCCTCTGGCTATGCCACTGAAGAGAAGAATATTTTGAGGGATATGCGAACTCCCGCCATTGTTTCGCGCATTTCGACCCGTGAATCGATCGAATCCTTTACTCATGCTGATTTTGTGAAGTCTGTCGTGTGTCACCTCTTTCTTTTTTTGAATATCTTATCCTCTGTGTTCATCATCTTCAGTAGCTTCATGAAGTCGATATCCGTGACTTGCAGTTCGTTGAAAATACCCTTCTGCTGGATACCGCCGTTATTCATCACGATAATCTGATCGGCCAATGGCAGATATTGTGACTGATGCGTCACCAAGATTCTCGTTTTCACCTTTAAAGCAATGAAGTGAAACAGACCGTAACATCAAGAGCACTAGTTTTTCCATTAAACATATAAATTTTTAATAAACGATTTTTTTTTATATTCCTTGTATCAGTGGCGTAGTCAGAAAAGGTTTCGGGGGGGCTATACTTTTTATTTTTGGCGAGCAAAAAAAAAGTCATTCGAAAAAATTTTTCTCACACTTAGCGTAACCCAGAAAATTAATTTCGGGGGGGAGCTGCAGCCCCCTCAGTCCTCCTTGGCTATGTTACTGCCTTGTATAGTAAAATATATTGAAACTCTTGAGGAACCTATGTCAGGTACTTGAAATTATTGAAGAAGAACAATTTGATTATTTTGAGGATAATGATATATTTTTCCGACATTTAAGAACATTAAACATTTTTTTAAATTTATCATTAACCCAATATTTGGATTAAAATTTGACTCAAGATGGTGAAAATTCACTCGGCGAAAATACTCTCGGGATCATAAAAGTAAATGTTTAACTCAAACTTATAGAATGGATTCTTTATCTATATAAATGAATGTTTCAATTGATTAGAACGAATTTGTTCCTCCGACAATGGAGTATATTGGATTCGCTCTTTAACTTTTAATAAAAAATTAACTCGACGATTAAGGTGAAGAATTCGCTTCATACGTGTAGAAAGATACTAGAATTCATGTGGAACTTCGTTCGGGGGAATTTAGAAAGTACTTTCAAAAAGCCGTAGATGCATTCATTACTAACCCAACATTTAGATTAAAATTTTACTCAAGATGATAAAAACTCACTCGATGTAATAGTAAAAATACTCTCGGGATTACAAAAGTAAATGTTTAACTCAAACTGATAGAGTAGATTATGTCTAGGTATAGCTTCCGGAATGGAGCCGTGTTTTGAATCAGCGATATGCCGACGTTTCGCAAACGTTGCAGTTTGCATCATCAGGGCTGAGAACTCTGATACAATATCAGAGTTCTCAGCCCTGATGATGCAAACTGCAACGTTTGCGAAACGTCGGCATATCGCTGATTCAA